TCTCTTTCTCATCTCTCTCATCTCTCTCTCCTCTCTCTCTCTCTCTCCTCTCTGTCTCTCGTCTTTCCGTCTCTCTTCTCTCTCTTCTCTCGCAGGAGGATCCGGGCAAAGAGCCACATATAAAGGACTCTTCACCCCTGCCTCCAAAAAGAGCGCCGTGTTTTTTCCTACCTCGCTGCCCTCCACTTTCCCATTCTGGAGCGCTAGCTTTCGCCCCCCCCTTGGCCTCAAGTAATTTTTGACGTGTCCAATTCAATCCAATTCATGCAGAGTTCGTATATGTTGGGATGTTCGACTTGGGCGAAGCATACCCTGAAGTAAACCCTTTGAACATGTTACTACTTTAGTCTTCACTCTGAGCGAACGAAGCATACCCCATAGTCAAGCTTCCCGGCCCGGGAACGTCAACACAAATACACACCTTTATAACTCAATGACAGTCTCACCAAGGATGCAAAGCTTGAAGATGGCTGATGGCGGCATCCGTAAACCATCCGCCCGCCACCTGGAGAGTAAACTATCTCAAACACTACTATCCTACTATAGTAGGGTGTCGAATGCACACAAGCACGAATGCGTTGTCAAAACTTCAAAATGACGTGTCAACTTCTATTTATCACATCTTGTCTGAGGTCCGTGATTTTCTTTGGTTTCTGCGACACAGGCCTGCTCAAGGATGAAACGACATAGATATCACATAGTGCATAACAGTGCATACTCAAGGGTCAATGTGAAAGATCAGTGCAAGTCCAAAGCAGTTCCCTCCCACACCGCCCAGCACCCGCAGTTCCGGCTTACAGTCATGCAGCTTGCGCAAGGTCCCACACGCCGTTGGCGTGAGGTCTCGCAGGTCCCTCCAGCGCTCCATCCCTGCAGCGGAGCAGGGCCCAGTCGTGAGCCCCGACGAACGCGAAGCCGAACGACCGTCGCCCTGGCAGCCTTCACCGTCGCCCTTGGCTCCGGCACGAACCGCCTGCGAATCCAACGGAGGGTGCGTCCCGAGCGGAAGGAGGTCGTGCAGGCGGAGCTGGCGGAACGAAAGTCCAAGGAGGTCTTGCCGTATGCCCAGCCACAGGAAGCCATCCAGTGGCCAAATGTCTTGGACCCCATGAAGCGGCAAGCTGATTTGTCGTTGGAGAGGGAGGATGGAGAGATGAAAAGGCAAAACTTTCAAGGCAAACGCCGCTCGCTGCAAGGATTCCCGTGCATTCTTCGATGGCCTTGAAATCCCCTACGAACTTTTGGGCCCTCCATAGTGAAGGGGCGGACCCTTGTTTTTGGGCAGAGGTTTATCCTTACGGGTCCTTTTGAGCCACCGGAGAGTCACCCAGGTGAACGAACGGTGCGTGCCTTGATGCAGTCCTTCTTGCGAATGCAGGAGATGTCACTGGAGAGTGGCTGTGTTTTTCTGGCGACTTTTGTGCCTGCTTCATCCAATTGAATGGCACTAGTGTGACGTCTAGTGTGACACCTAGCCTACAGGTCACCACACGCGCCTCCTCCGGAGGACCCCCTGCGGATCATCCGCTTCGGCATCGAACACCCGGAGGGCGACGGGCGCGGCTGGGCGGCCGTGGCGCTCACACGGCTGAACAAGACGCAGGAGGCGGCCAAATTGGCGGCGGGGCCAGAGCCCCGAAAGAGGAGGTTGGTTGTTTTTTGTTGGTTTTGGGAGGAGGCTGTGGGGATGAAGGATGATAAAAGGGTGGAAAGGTCCCCTGAACTGTCCTGAATACCACCGAAATATGTGGCAAAGATGTAAGTAGAGACTGGGCTACCTCAGGCCCTGAAGACAAAGACTTGTCCAAGAGGACGCAAGCAAGGGCAGTGTGACAAGTTCGTTTGGCGCGGGGTGAGTTGTGATATTTTGCATATTTCGTTGCACAACGGTGGCAGTGGTAAGGGCGGGGGGGTCGCTTGTGTAGCGCGTTTTGGGTCGCTTGTGCGTCGCGTTTTGGGTCGCTTGTGCGTCGCGTCTACCACCACCACCACCACCACGACTACTACTACTACTACTACTACTACTACTCCGAGACCAGTACAGTGCCTTGCCTAGCGCCTTGCATCGCAATGCGCGTTGACAGACAGACAGACCCTGAGAAGCGCTCAGAGAAACTACCTGCGGCCTTGTCGTTTTTCTTGAGCTCAGACACCCCTATATATATATATTTGATTATATTTGTCTCTCTCTCTCTATATGTGTCTCTCTCTCTCTCTCTATGTATCTACCTACATCGAAGAGGTCGGGTATATGAATGATCCCTGATTCTCTGCAGGTTCTTCTTCCATGCTGTTGGATTCCACCTTGGTTCCTGTTCTATGATACTCTTAGACAATGCGTACTGCCAACATTTGTGGCTCAAGGTGCACTTTGTGCGACGCATGCTCTTGCTAGTCTGTCAGCCGATCCATGTTGACACCCCACCCCACCCCACCCCACCCACCCGGAGGTAAGATGTGATGACGGGCAATCATTCCATTAGATCCCCACCCGCCCCACCCCACCCGGATGTAAGATGTGATGATGTGGCCGCGTGGGCCAAATTGAAATCATGGACAATTTCCACATCTCATTATCATTTCCCATCGATGCGCAAGTGACCCGCTGGGTCGATGCGTAAGTGACTCTCCGATGCGCAAGTGACCCCCGATGCGCAAGTGACCCATTTTGCAATGCGCAAGTGACCCTCCTGCCCAGTGGTAAATGCACCCTAATGGCAACAATGCTGCTAAACGTTGATTCTTTTTCACATTATGTCCAATACAGCCATTTGCGAACACCGGACTGATTGTATTGGCAATCCATCAGTCTCCCCAACCTTCCACGAGCACCTCACCAATTCCCCGCCTTCCTACGCATGGTCGACTCGACACCCTGTGTGTTTTTTTCACCCAGGATGGGCAGACGCCCTGCGGCTACCAGACCATGAGATACGTGGCACATGCGTGTGCCAAAGAGGGCGCCATTGAGGCAGCTTACCATCTTTCGCGGCTGCAGCAGAAGTGCGGACGCACCAAGTTCATTACGGCGGGAACGGGGGTGGGGGAACTTGGGGAACCCCGTGGTGAGCCTCAGGAAAAGCAGGATTTGGAGGTTGATGGTTATATAGTCATTCTCTCTGAAGGTTTGAAAGATTCATGTAGATTCACGAGTTCCGCTTTGGCAACCGCCTGTGATTAAGGGATGACAGATTTCGTCCATTCAAGCCCACGCAACCAATTTGAAAAGACCAGATGGCTGGGGCACCACACGCGTGCCCCTGGTGGGGCTGAGCAGTTTGCTGGTGCCACTGGTGCCCCCTGGAAATCCAGGACAAGAACTTGGACGTGTTGAATACATTCTACAGGCCACTTTCTTGCCCCATCTCAGTAAGAGGCCATCGCTAGTAAGTTGGAGGCCATTTGACTTAAGTAGCGAGTAGGAAGAGGTAAGTAGCTGCGAAAGATTTTGGCCAAACTCACAGCCTCACGGATTCCTAGAGCAGTCCATGCCGATTGCACTCCTCCATGCCAGGCTGGATCTCGAGCCTTCCAAAGCGTGGTTGAGAGACTTGGAGTGTGGCGATGTGAGGATGGTTGTGCAAACGATTTGATACCTCAGATGACCATTGTGATGACCATATGTGGCTCCCATCAAAGATGCGAGTCAATGGGGCTGTCTAGTGGAGTAATGTAGTTTCACAAAGCTAGACGCCGTCATGCCTGCATCAACGTTTGGTGCTACTCCACGCTACTCCCAAACCTGCTGCTAGCAATGGTATACTGTAATTACTTGGCTGCTGACACCTTTTACTATAGTCATGGACGTCCCTGTTTTGAGGGTCATAGGTGCTGTCACAGCCGTGTTTTGAGAGAGGTACATGTTGAGCTCCGTTTGTTGCAGCGGTGATGACGCGTGCTCCGTCCATCTCCGTCCGCTTCCTCGCTGAACTCCGAGGAGTTCCGCACTGTACCTTCAGTCGACGGCCGAACAGATGCCCAAGCTGCTGGCAGGGCACGGTGCACGAGTGGCCGAGGAAATCGAGACCCTTCTGGCCCCTTGGGATGATGGGGAAGAGATGGGTGCAACATGAAGCACTTACCACAACGGTTGGCCCTGCTAGTTGGTCACTGACCTACTGTACCATCAAAGATCATCAAAGAGTGCTGCTTCGCTCTATGAGAGTTGGTTTGCACCCCCAAACTCCAACTGAAAATGGTAAGATGGTCTTTCACATTGAAGAATGTTATAGCAGCTGTTTGCAAACCGTGTACTGGCTCTCAAGCCCCGGAGAGCCCAGGAGATGAAAAATGAGATCCTGGCTCTCACTCCGAACCGCCGCTTCTTAATGCTGAACGAGCCTTTCAATCAGCTCATCCGCTGGTATGGCCGTGCTCGTTTGATCCCACAAGCTCTTCGCGCCTGCGAGATTATGAATGAGCTTGGCATCCCCAGAAATGATTCTGAGCTGGCAGGGTGAAGGCATTACCAATACTAATGTTTACATCGCAATGATAAACCCTCCACCCACCAGTAAATTCTGGCGGCCGGAAATTATTCTGCCTCAATCGTGAACCTCGGACCTCACAATTAGACAGAATCAAAAAGCAAGAGAGGGGAGTTGAAAGGAGTTGAACGGGCAATGAACATACTTAGGATAATTTTCAGAATTTGCCGCAAAGAGTATTGCAGATGTTTCTTTCTTTCAGGGCGATAAAGTTTAGGTTGATTTATATTAGGTGTTTAATGTCTAAAATGCATGCTGTATATTGTAATATAGTGTATTATATATTATATAAATATTGTAATTATATAGTGATTTCGTGAGTATTGGGGGATGTTTGGCAGGAGAGGAGTTTGCTTTATATAATCTACTTTGTAATGTGAACATAATACAGTAGTTGATATGCCATGGAACTAGTCAGGCCGCTTTTTCCAGCGCGTCACAAACCGACTGGAGCGACACGGTTACCACTGTTGCCCTCACACAAAGATCCTTGATTGCTGGCGGGTGGCGCTTCTTGCCCTGGTTGAGTTCAATCAAGATGGCTTGGGCTTCAACAAGTACAGTACTTCAAAAGGCAGCTGCAACTATTCACCAACACCACCATGATGCCATTGGAAAAAAAGGAAGAAAGAGGACAGAGCCCCTCAATTTGGTGATCATTTGGTGCCCTACATTCACTTACGCAACATCCTCCCCCACTCCAAACTGGGCGTGCACCAGCTGTCAGGCACACACATAACGTAGGCTCATTTTGGGCCGGGCCATGACCCTCCAATGGCCGTGTGATGCGAATCGTGGGTGGAGACACCCAGGACATGACCCTCCATTTCCTGAGTCGTGGCTGTGCTCAGCAGTTCACCTGCCTCAAGAAGGCCAAGCGCTACACGCAGGCGCCCAACGATTTGCCGGGCTACCGCCCGGAGGTGCGAAGGGTGTGGGGAGAGTGCATTGGAATTGGATGGAGGGGTGATCAAACACCGGTGAAACTCCCTGAAACTCATACCCTAGGATTCCAACCCCTATTATATATTTAAATAACCATTCGTAGTTTAATGCTTCCTACCGAGCAACCATTGTTTTACTATGGATGTTGCACTACAATTCACCATGTTTGTTAATGGCCTTGGAAGGCTGGGGCATACAGTCTTTTGAGATGTTTTGACGTGGCCCAAGGCAGACAGGCCGCATGGCCACGAGACTTTGAGACATTGGTGCCGATCTCTCGTCCATTCTCCACCGCCCACCTTTGGTCATGTTGGTTGTATAGCTCAAGCACTCAGAGAGAGCACTGGGCTTCACACTCAAATGCAATGGGCTACTAGGGGCTCCTGGCATCGCTAGTAGGAGCAAGGACGCTACTAGGGGCTCGTGGCCGTACTACCAGGAGCAAGAAGCTACTAGGAGCAAAGGGCATTTCTACTAGGAACAAGAACGCTATGACGGCCACCCTTCCAACCGAAGCATTCTCGCGACTCCCGGCAGGTGGTGTTCCTCGGCCGGGTGAACTCGGGAAAATCCTCCATGATCAACGCCTTGCAACCCGGCCGAGCGAGGGGAAACCGAAAAGAACACGGCGAACAACAAGGTGATGGTTGTTTGTTTTCCAGCTTCTAACCGTGTGACATTGTTTTGAATTTTGTGATGTGTGGTGACCTTTGGAGTTTACATAAGTTCACAGTATTTTACACTTGAAGTTTTGTTTGGAATGGTGAGATGACTGACTGTTGATGAGGGCCATGGGGATGTGAAGTTAAGCTCAGGAAAAGGATTCTGTTGAAGCCAGCTGGATTCATTGGTGGCTGTGTACCCTAAGCCCTGTAAAGCCAATGAAACAGAATGAAACCTCTCGAACTCGGCCATGAGGCCTTCATGGGTTCCGTATGGTTCTGTCATAGGACATGTTTGGACCATCCTTTGGGCTTAGCTTCGCAGATGACAACCCTAAACCCATCTAACCCCCTAACCCAGTAATGGCCTCCAACCTAAATGCGATGGCCTCGAACCGAAGAGCGATGGCCATCCAACCTAATGCCCGGTCACACACACAGAAGTTGCAAACACTTCCCCGAAGATTGCTTCTGATGGCGAGCGGAGCGGACGAGGTTCAGCTCCCTGACCAAGTTTGCTCCAGCCTCGAAGACCCGAGCCTTCACACGAAGCCTGGCGATCTCTTCCTTGTTTGCTTGGAGGTCCAAGAATTTATCATTTGTGATTTGTGATTGAAATAAATATATGTGAATATCAATATTATTATATATTATATATAATTATACAGTTTGATGCTGACAGAGCACAATCCAAACACTGCAGCTACACGTCAATCACCATTGCCATAGCCCCTTTTCTTTTTTTGTCTTGTATAGATATCATGGTCGACCCTTCAAGCAATTGTCCTGAACCATGACTGGCACTAAAAGCCATAGTTCTGAGTGATTCCCGACCAACCAAGCAAAGGAAAGCTCATGTTCTACGAGGTGAACAAGGAACGTGCAGGACAGACACCTGCAGAGTTTGCCACGGCCACCCAGCTGTGGAGCAACCCATTAAATTTTCGGATGGGTAAGCATTGATACAATAAATATAGATACATTACATATGTATTCGCTTCAGTTCTTTCCTTCCACTGATTTGGGCTAGTGCTTGAGGCTGGAGGATAATAGGGCCATGTCAATGTCATGTGAGGCCTTAGAATCTGAGTAAGAGGCCCGCAGTAGAGCACAGAGCACCTCGAGAGCGTCAGGACTACCTCACTTCATGATGGTGGATACTCCTGGCCTGGGGTGCGCTGACATCGGGCGAGCAGCCTCAATCACTCGGGACTGGCCTGATCTTATCTATGACTACCTGAAGCTTTGCTTCTGAAAAGAGTTGAACTGCCCCTTTCCACGAAGTGGACGTTTGGGTGGCTTGCTGCCAGCACTTGCATCTCATCCGCCACTTGCGCCACCCTAAGCCCTTCGCCCATGTGCTTGCATTTGCAAGCAATTGAGCAGCAACTAAGGAAGAATCGAGAAGCTTTGAAGCACATTTTCCATTTAGCAGCTCGGCCAAAGTGCTGCTTGGTATCGCCCAAGGAAGAACTCATTTGGTCCTCCTTGGCCAGTTCTCGATTGCCAGACATCTCCAGAATTCACCGCCCGATGATGTCAGGTCGATGCAAGAAACCACAAGCTGCTCCCTGGGGATAAGCAGCTCCTCCATTTGGTGGCCAAAGCTCAGCGGCGAAGCGTTCGGTATACCATCGTGATCACAAAGATTGACGCTCAACGTGGAGTTGGTTGGTGGGTTGGTGAATCACCAAGCAAACGTTGAAGAACCCTATAGACTATCCCATATTGGTACCCCCAATATGGTCCTAATAAGGTCACCTAATAAGGTCACGATCCCTCTTGGCAGTTTGAATACGGCTTCCTTGGGGGTTCGGTGAACCATCGTGTGTGAGGAACAGACCTGTCCAGCTCGGTCAGTGTTGCGGCGAATCGTCACGCGAAACGAAGAAACGGGTCTCATGACCCATGAGTCTCAATGAGACACTACAGACATTGACCCCAGGTCAACCCCAGGCCGTATAGGTATATAATGGTATATGTGCAATATATACCAGGTCTCATGGAGTGGGATGTGGATGTCGGGATGTTAGCCCAGTGCTCACAAAGGCCGGTCCGGCCGACGTGGACACGTCCGTCCGGTCAGGACGTTTGCAAGCGTGCCGTGGCGAATGACACTGCCCAACGCATCAGAGAGGAGCTGAGCCCTTACTGCGATGTTGATATTATGTACCTCAGTGGCAGAAGGGGTCGCTGAAAGCATGTGGAACTGAGCACAATCCTTCTTCTGTCCGGTGGGAACAGGTTCCCGCACATCAGTTCACGATGCTAACACAAGAGGAGGTGTCCTGTGGGTTCAGATACACCGATTTCCAGACATGAGCTAGTGTCAACATGAATGAGCGCAATAGATGAACACAATAATCATAATACTAGTCTGTGAGTGTTGCGTGGGATCTCAAAATTCATGTCTTGACCCCCACATACCGTACCCTTACCCAATAACGATCATGTGATGGACATGCATCAGTAATGATGCACCAAATCATGACCTTCACACCATGACCTCAGAGTCCTCTGAGGTTTGCAAGCGCGCGGAGTCTCCGCGGGGTGGACCATATGTGGTCGAAGATTTGGCAGTCCGTGACTGAAACTCCACGGGGCCGACGGCATAAGGACTGGCCAAGTTCTGCCTGGGCGGCCTGTTTCCGGGGCCTTTGTTGGATGTTCGGGTTGGAAACGGACCAGCTGGAAGTATCTAGGTGTCATTTGTGCCGGTGCGGGGATCTTTCGCCATCACAGGACATCGGCCGGAAAGAACTGGAGAGACTGAGGGAGCTGGGACCAGATGTAGCTTGGCCTTGGATTGGCTGATTCAAAATGATTCAAATCATGTCTTCGGTGGGGCGCAGCTGTACTTGTGTTGATACAGTATTTCGGGAAGGGGCCCAAGATGAAGATTGATGCAGACTTGGAGGCTCTATCAAGAATTTGGTGACCATGAGTTGTACCTATCGCAAGTGCCCTGGCCCAGTCATGTGGCCCAAGTTGGAGATGGGGGGGAAACCCCGCAGACCGTCGGCCCCGCCTCAGTTGTCAGACCTTTTTCAGCCCGGGTCAGGCGGCCAGGCGGCCAGGCGGCCAGGTCATAGAATTGATAACATAACTATATTGCATAATTAGCTGTATAATTGTTTCAGTTTCTTCTCCTTGAAAAAGCACCCGGCTGAGCAGTCCAGAAGGAGACTAGGCCGCAGAAGATCTCGAAATTTGCCCATGGTCCATGTTCTTTTTGCCCAACTCGCAAAAAGACTTGGACCTTGGTGCCTCAACATCCCCCAATAGACAACCTTACTATGCTCGCTGTAGGTGGACCTCGACACTCTCACCAGAATGCTTATGGCTTATGCATTGTATCACGAAGGTGTTTCACTTCTTTTGGGGAGAAGGGTCAGAGTGAAGCCGTGCATCTCCCTGCCGTGCAGCTTAGGCCACCAAAGGTCCCAGCCTGTCCGAGCTCCTGGAGATCCCCGATTACCGTGCCTCGGCGCGCCTCTCGGGGAAGATCGACGGTTTGAGCTGCACGGCCACCTCCAAACCTCAGTCCATGTATCTTTCTATGTACGAAACAACAGATGGTTTGCTACTTGCTCTAAGCGACACCTTTTGTTGTGTTGTGTGGGATGCTTGGTGCAGAAGAGCAGTTTCATGAGCAAGCAAAGCAGCGAGACCTGTCATTGCTTCGGCTGATTTTTCGAGGAAATGTCCAGCAACCGCAGAGCTTTGATGGTGAGGAGTGGGCTGAAGACAACGACTACGACATGAAGGTTGGAGAGCGGAGTGAGGAGTATTTCGATGACAAGTGGGGAGAAGAGCTCGATGATGAAGGTGTCTTGGAATATTATTTGGATTCCTAGGTCTTAGGGATTAAGGGTGCTCATCCATCACCACATGATGCCACCCGGCAAGGATCTCTACCTTTGCAGGTTGTGCCGCACCCTTTACTTCCCCAATGTTGATCCCTCACAGGAGTGAGTCCAAGATGGTTGTCAAATCGAAGTGAGCCAGTTGAGGAGTGTGGGGTGAACAAGTGGATTCTTGTCATGATGTTGGGAAGGAAACTCCAAGATGACATGAGAGGTGTCCCCCAGTACTTTTGAGGTGAGGGGCGCACCCTAGACGACTTTGACGATGAAGCATATGAAGATGAGGATGACTTCAGCGAAGACGCCACCTTGCTTGTGGTCAGGACATGGGGGTGGAAACTCAGAGGTACAACTGCCAGTGGGAGAGGATTGGACTCAAGATTGTTCAAGATGCTGAGCGTTTTTTGCTGTTGTTGTTTGCCATAGTTTGTTGGGGTCGGATGAATTGTTTGGGAATGCACCGAGCACAGCTCCGATGTTCCTCCGGTCCGGTCCTCCACACGCTTCTCAGAGGCCCTTGTTGCAGTTCAAAGGGATGAGTGACGCTGATGGTAGGTGAGGCCGAAGGTACTCGATGACTCCCCCAGTGTCAATTATATACATGTGGGAATTGTTTAGAATTATATACATGTTGGAATGATATACATGCTGTCAATTATATACTGCAGTAATTATATACATGTTGGATCATGATGGATCTCTTCGGAACGCTGAGGCCTTGGAACGTCGCTGGGAAGACTTTGATGATGACGACGATTTTGAGGATAGTGAAGTCACCAAGGACCGCGAGCCTGGTTCCAAAGCCATCAAAACGACAAGTGGTTCCCATTATGGGCATGCCAACAGCAGGTGTATAGATATATATATATATATATAGTGATAGTGATCCCCAAATAGATAGAAACGGTTTCCAAATACATTTTAAGTGGGGATCTACTTTTCGATTCTATCTATTTGGGGGCCACCATATAGCACCTCATAACTTAATCTTCAGACGGGACAGTGGTTCCCTTTCTAGCCCCAGCTTTGAGGGCGTCAATTGAGAGGGCTCGGCCCGCAGAGAGAGAGAGAGAGAGAGAGAGGAAGAGAGGCCTGGGAGGATGTGTAGCTTCTTGTTCCTAGTAGCGATGCCAGGAGCCCCTTTAGTAGCTTCCTTGCTCCTAGTA